GTGTAAAATTGACCCGCAGCCCGAGGCGGGCTTGGCCCGACCCGTGACAATGTGAATATTCACATTGACATGTTAACATTAACATTGATAGGAGTGTAAAACCTTGTCCGCTGCCCGAAGCTCGCCCGCGGCCCGGGGTAGGCCCGGACCCAAACTCGGGCACCTCGGGCCGCCGATGGGAGAGTCAATTTTACACTCTTATCAATGTGAATGTTAACATGTCCATGTGAATATTCACATTGTCAACAGGCCGGGCCGGGCCGGGCCCGCCTTGGGCCGCCCACGAGCTGTGCGCGTGTTTCGGGCAGCCACGGGGCACGGGCTAATGTTACACTCTTATCAATGTGAATGTTAACATGTCAATGTGAATATTCACATTGTCAACAGGCCGGGCCGGGCCCGCTCGGGCCGCCCACGAGCCGTGGGCATGTTTCGGGCAGCTACGAGGCACGGACTAATGTTACACTCTTATCAATGTGAATATTAACATGTCTATGTGAATATTCACGTTGTCAATGGGCCGGGCCCGCGTCGGCCCGGGGCCGGGCTTTGTGCTGCCCACGGGTCACGGGCTAATTTTACACTCTTATCAATGTTAATGTTAATATGTCAATGTGAATATTCACATTGTCAACAGGCCGAGTCGGGCCCGCCCCGGGCCGCCCACGGGCCGTGGGCTAGTTTCGGGCAGCCATGAGGCGCAAGCTAATTTTATACTCTTATCAATGTGAATGTTAACATGTCAATGTGAATATTTGCATTATCAACGGGTCGGGCCGGGCCCGCCCAGGGCAGCCCATGAGCCGCAGGCGGGTTTCGGGCCGGCCACAGGCCGCGGGCTAATTTTACACTCCTATCAATGTGAATATTCACATGTGTGAATATTCACATTGTCAATGGGCCGGGCCCGCCCCGACCTGGGCACGGGTTTCGGGCTGCCCACGGGTCATGGGCCAATTTCACACTCTTGTCAATGTTAATGTTAATGTTAATATGTCAATGTGAATATTCATATTGTGAACGGGCCAGCCCGGGCCCGCCTCGGGCGACGAGCTGGTTTTGGGCCGCCTACGGGCCGCAGGTCAATTTTACACTCCTATCAATGTGAATGTTAACTTGTCAATGTGAATATTCATATTATCAACGGGCCGGGTCGGGCCTATTTTTTTGGCTTGTGGGCCGGCCCAGCCCGACTCGAATTTTTCCGGACATCCATGAGGATCGACATGAGCCGGGCCCCTACACATTGACGATATAAACATTTATATTGACGGTGTGAACATTCACATTAAGGGTATTTTAGTAATTATGTCACCATAAAAAAATAATGTGAATTAAATGGAACATAAGTAAATGAAAAAGGTATTTTGGTCTTCTTATCTCAAATTGGACCTAATGGAATAGTCAAAAAGAATATGGGTTGGATGAAATAAAGCTCTTAGAAAATGAATTTATCAAAAAAGCTCCCAATTGAAATGTCTATTAATGTGATACTATCATATCATTCTTGCTAGATTTTTTTATTTATTTATGAATTTTTGTTTGTAAATTATTTCCCTTTTATTAGTTTATTTGCCAATATTGTATTGAAAATATATGTTCATGGTGAAATTTATTACACAAATTGTGTTAACAAGTAAGATGAAAAGCATAATATAGTACTAGCGGGTGACGCATGTGATGCGTGTGCAATTTAAATAAGTAAAAATAAAAATAAATAACAAAAAAATTAATATCTATGTTGTCTAAGTAGTAAGACGGTTTTTAATAAAATCTAAGGTTCCAAATATTCTTAACCTCTATTTATAATTTTTTATTTTAAGTTAGAAAAAGCTATTGCAACGTGGCATAACGTGAAGGTTTGAAAACCAAATCTAGACTTTACTGAATAATAATAATTTTTTATTTTAGGGTAGAAAAAGCTACTATCGCGGGGCATAACGTGAATGCTTGGACACCAAATCTAGCCTGCACTTAATAATAGTATATAGTATAATATAGATAGATAGAAAAAGCTGCTGCCACATGGTATGACATGAAGGTTTGAACACAAAGTCTAACCTTTACTTAATAATGAGTCAAGATCCCTTCATTGCACTCTTTCTTTGCATTTCTTACTTGCAGGGTCATTGGGCTCATTTTTAGGCCCAATTTTGATAATCCGAACCGGTCATATTTTAAGATTTGTTCAGTATATCATACCTGTAGAAAATCAAGTTGATCGGATATCAGAAAGCATGTGTTCGGAAAACTGTTTATTAAATTTAAAAAAAAATAGTTTTTAGTTCAATTTTTCCGAACACATGCTTTCTGATATCCGATCAATTTGATTTTTTACAGGTATGATATACTGAACAAATCTTAAAATATAACGATTCGGATTATCAAAATTGGGCCTAAAAGTGGGCCTAAAAGTGGGCCCAATGGCCCTACAAGTAGGAAATGATGCAAGGAGGGAATCCTTGCTCCTTAATAATAGGGTTAAATTATGTAAATGATCCCCTTAGTTTACACGATGTGTCAATTTAGTCTTTATTGTTTCAATTTGTTCGATTTTACCCTTTAATTTAACAGATTGTGTCATTTTAATCCAATAAAGGGCAAAATCGAGCAAATTGAAACAGTGATGACCAAATTGACACATTGTATAAACTACATGACCTATTAATATAATTTCCCTAATAATAGTATAGTATAGTATAGATAAATAGAAAAAGTTGTTGGCATGACGTAAATGCTTGGATACCAAGTCTACCTTTCACTTGATAATAATATAAATAAAAGATAGATAAAAATAAGACTAATGCTATAATGACTATATATACTATAGAATAAAGATTGAGAACTCTAATTTTAGAGTTCTAAAGAGAGCTCTAGTGATGTGGCAATGAGTGGGGCCTACATGTGACGTGATGTGTGTGTCTATGTTTTTGTTTTGTTTTGTTTTTTTTTCTCTTGCCACATCACTAAAGCTCTCTTTAGAACTCTAAAATTAGAGCTCTTTATTATTGTTGATATACCATATCTATCACATTGTATTTACTATTATTTATCATAATTATATTGATTGAGTAGTTACTATCACTTGTATCTATTATTAATATGACGATGACACATCGTATAGTAAATTAAATTTTAGATGTAATTATAATCATTATAGCATTAGTCTAGAAATAAAGTGTAGCTTTATTGAATAAGAAAATGATTAATGTTACTTTTTACCTTTTAAAGTATGGTCTCTAAAAACAAATTATCTTATTTGAACTCTAAATTATCACATTATTTTCACATTGGTTTAAATTCTAATGACTGAAAATGCCAAGTGGCTTGGGTTGATCCAAACCCACCTATATTCAGGGATAATTTACCAAAAAAAAAAAAAATGTAAATTACACTTTTACTTAGGGGTATAATTTTGGCCTGGCCCGGCTCATGTCAGGCCTTGCGGGCTCTCGCCAAAAAATCGGGCCGGGTTGGGTTGGCCCACGGGCAAAAAAACTAGGCTCAGGCCCAAGCCTAGGCCTAGGGATATTCGGGCTTTGGGCGAGCCAGTGGGCTGGGCGGACCGGGCCTCGGGCCGAGCTTTTGGACGAGCCTTGAGCGGGCCAATGGGCCGGCTTCAAAACGATGGCCCAGGCCCAAGGCATCGTGCTGGGCTTGGACTCGGGCCTTAACGGGCCTAAATAGGTCTGGCCCACCTCGGGCCGCGAGCGGGTTTCGGGCTGCCCACGAGCCACGGGCTAAAATTACACCCCTACTTTCACTCCGCCTTTTTTCATTTTGATCTTTAAAAAAAAAAAAAAAAAATTCACTTCGGTCCTTAATCCCAAAAGAAAGATATCTAACTCCAAAAAAAAATAAAAAATAAAAAATAAAAAATAAAAAATAAAAACAATGGCTACATAATCTACTAATATGTAGTTTTACAATGTTTAAACTTTCACTTTCTTTTACTTTTTCATTCTTTCTTATTATCTCTCATTTTTTATGCACCTTTTCATCCTACCCTCATAATTGACCACCTATTATGACTCATTCCCTTCCCTTCTAACGTTAATGCTCTCCTTTCATTCGATCTTCCCTTACTCAAATATTAAGCTCTTTATTTTAAGTAATCATTTTAATTAACATGTATTTCAGTGAGATTTCCTCTTCTTGCAGCTTCCGTGCTTGCGTCCGTCCTTGCAGGCCTTTGGGTCTACTTTTAGGCTCAATTTTGATAATCCGAACCGTTCATATTTTATGATTTATTCAGTATATCATACCTGTAAAAAATCAAGTTGATCGGATATCAGAAAGCATATGTTCGGAAAACTGTTTATTAAATTCTTTAAAAAATAGTGTTTAGTTCAATTTTTCAAACACATATTTTCTGATATCCGATCGACTTGATTTTTTACAGGTATGATATACTGAATAAATTATAAAATATAAACGGTTTGGATTATCAAAATTGGGCCTAAAAGTAGACCCGAAGACCTGCAAGGACGGACGCAAGCACAAACTTGCAAGGAGAGGCTCCTGACTCATTTTGTACACCTTTTTTAATTCACAACATTCCAAGAAAAAATCAAAAATGAAAGGAGGGAGAAGGTATGAGATGAAAGAAAAGTTAATATTTTATGTTTAGCTAGTTAATATTTACACATGTTTTTACTAGTAAATATTACAAATTATTTTTACATGCGACATGTAATAATAAATTTTAATTTTTACTAATTAATTTAAAAAAGTATTATGTCGGTAAATAAAAGAAGTTAGTAAGATTTATTAGTTTGTATGATATTATTCGCATAATAATTTGATTCCCACACTCATTATTTAATTAAGAGCGAGCCGTAAACTCAAATGTCTTGAATTCAATTTTTGTTTGTATTTTTGAGTTTAGCCAAAACTTGTAGTTTTCATTAAGATGTTTATCGTCATAAAAAAAAATATAACAATAATAAATAAATAAAATAAAATCTCTCTCCTAAAATCCATGTCGAGTAGCATAAATCTGCAAAGAAGAAAATATGGGATTCATTAAATAACAAACATATTATTGTAATGTGTCATCGTCCTTCAATCCTTGTTACAGTGATCTCATTTTTAGAGTGTGTATTGTCATTTTGAGATTGAAGATCAGATACTAACAAGCGTTGGAAGGTAAATGTAGGTTTTTTCGGTGATGGGGCATCTATTTCACTGCTTAGCATGAGAACTACGGTTGACATGGTAGGTCTATCTGTAGTGTGGTCTTGAACACAAAGAAGGCCAACATGTATTGATCTCATTACTTCTGTGAAAGAATATGAATCAGCCACTTCTTGATCCATGAGGTCCAATGCCCTGCCTTCACTCCACAACTCCCATGCCTAAAACAATACTACATTGTCAATATAAGATCAAAATAACCAAGCAACACCAAAAAATAATTTGTTTTAAGTATTTGAAACACAAATTATGGTGTGATAGTGCACTCACATAACCAAGAAGGCTTGTGTATCTTTCATTATAGTGGAAACTGGTGTTCTTTATGCCACAAATGATCTCTAATAGCAAGACCCCAAAGCTGAATACATCAGACTTATCGGAAAATATTCCTCCCAGTGCATACTCAGGTGACATATAGCCGCTATATTTCATTAGAATATGATGATTATTAGAACAAGAATATCACTTCATTTCAGAAATAAAATTTTAAAATAACGTTTCACTGTGAAGTATGATATAGTGACTGCATGTTGTAATCAATAAATTCATTCATCACTATGTACTTTTGATGTGATTAAATCCATTCAGTGAAAAATGAAGAAGTACAAGCATGGAATTCAATTCACTGAAGGAAAGAAAGCATGCTTACTGTGTTCCCACAACCCTGTGAGTATTTGCCGACTCCTGTGTGCAAAGAAATGTTCGTGCCAAGCCAAAATCTGATATCTTGGGGTTCATATCTTTATCCAAAAGAATATTGCTGGTCTTCAAATCTCGATGAATAATCTTTAAACAAGAATCACGATGAAGATACAGAAGTCCTCTAGCAATGCCCTGAATAATGTTGAAGCGTTTAGGCCAATCCAGCAGTCCTCTTTTCTTTGGATCTAAAATACATGTTGATTCAAACATAATCAATGTTAAAGATCAGTGAACTTCATTCAGAAAAAGATGGCTAAGATGAATATCTGACTTTTATTGAACAAAATGGGTAAGAATTTAGAAGACATATATTGAAAAGAAGAAGCTGAACTAACCGAAGAGGAAAGTATCCAAGCTTTTATTGGACATGTAATCGTAAACTATCAACATTTCTTCTCCCTCAATACAGAAACCGAGGAGCCTAACAAGATTCCTGTGCTGGAGTCTTGAGATGAGTACAATCTCATTCTTGAACTCTTCTATGCCTTGTCCTGAGCATCTAGAAAGTCTTTTCACTGCTATCTCTTGCTCATCATGTAGCTTTCCCTATTCATAGTCCAAAAAATTTATCAATAAACTAATACAAAACAAATTACATAAACAAGTACTAACATATAAAATGAATTACCCTAAAAACTGGTCCAAATCCTCCTTCGCCAAGTTTGTTGTCTACACTGAAGTTATTGGTAGCAGCCACTAATTCATCAAAGTCAAACATTGGTTGCTCTAGTGTATCTTGCTGCTTTACTTGGTTCTGCAAGTTTTCTCTTGAACTGTTCCATGTATCAGCCAAGCTAAAGCTCTTGATTTTCTTTCCCTTCTTTTCTGATATTTGAGATTAAACCATGACAATTGATTCAATTAGCTTTTCTGTCTTCATGGATTCAAGGTCATCAAATATGAGTATAATATTTACAAGCTAATTTTAATGTATGCACAATATGCACAAACCGCCATACCCCAGAAATAAAAAAGAAAAAAAGAAAAAGCACTCTTTCACAAAAGAATAAAACAATAAACAGAGAATTCAACCCTGCATCTTATTGTACTCGATTTCTGAAAAAGAGAGTAGTCTTAATAAGTATAAAAATTGTGGTTTTGTTGGTGAAGGAATTTTTCTCATAGTTGGCTTCAAAAGTACAAAAATTGTTGTTTATAAAACATGACGTGATTGGAACATTGTAGCATGGAACCGGAGGAATTTTTGAACTAAAGTCTTTGGCAAACAACAAAAAATATTTACATCGCCGTGAGAAGGAAAATTCTTTACAAACCATCATTTGCACTAGAATTCACACTAATCTTTTGGGACAAAGAGGGTTAGTAATTAAGAACCCTTCTAAATTTACTTCGAAAGCAAAGACAAAGATTGATGGTCACATCTTTAGTGCAACATGTCTATGATAACTTAGTCACAGAATCAAAACGAAATGTTATACCCATCTCAATTACTAAAAAATGATTGAACAAGAAATGATTAATTTGGTCACTGAATGGAATCAATCAAAAGAAACAGCCTTCTTACCTCTTTGGTTAGCTTTCCACCTGTACGAACCATACATGACAGCACCCAAGAGGATTACCCCAGAAACTGTTGTTAAGCTGATGATGAGTGTCTCTTTTTTCTTGTCCTCATCTGAAAAACAAGAAAATCAAGAATCAAACAAGAAAGAATTAATGGAATTACTAATCCCCAATACACCAAGGCACAATTAACTATATACCTAGCTCTGAACCGGCAAGGCGAAGAAAAAGGTCCTCCCCAGAAGATGAAAATTGCTGAACATCAATAAGGTCTCCAGTCCAAACCATACAACCAATTCCACTCACATACGCATATGCCACACAAGAACAGTTACTCAAGCACCATTGTTGGCAACTATCTGGGGCATTCCGATTTTGCAGATATTGGAAATGATCTGGTAGTTTGACCCTACTTACCTTCAAAAACCCGTCATTCTCATCACTCCCCGAGCTCAAACTACTACTATTCCTCTGGCATAGCAATTGGGTCTGCCTCACACACCCACCTGTCCAATTTCCTTTCCTCCAATCCTCAATTGACTTTGGCACAAACCCTTTCAAGCAATCACAAGCTCGAGATCCATTCTTGTCGCAAAACCCAAAAGGTCCACAAAATCCATAGGTATCACAAAGATTACCAGATGGTTGAACCCAAGTATCATACCAACTATTCACTTCTTTGTCCCAATGCATTATATTCCACGACCCAGCTGGTGTCAAGACCAGAATTGTCACAATCGAGGCGTTATAGTTGCTAAATGAGACATAAACTGTTCCCACTTGATTATCAGCAACAAGACTAAACCCATTGGCATACCCTTCAAATTTGTTCTGTATCCCTATAAATCTCCGTCCATCCCACGGACCGCCTCTCCAATACCGCTCTGAATCTCTCCATATCAAAGCTTGTGGTGGCAAATCCGGTGTCAACCCACCAACAAACTTTCCCGGAAACGGGTCATCTTCACTCTTCCATGAAGAAAAGAATCGTTTCTCTCCTGTTTCAGTGTTCATCCCAATCGACATCCCTGGTAAGAAAGTGTCACAAGGGTAGTTAAAGCTCTCCCACAAGGTAAATCCAGAGACCTTGTCTTTGAGAATGAAATTTCCCTTCTTTGTGAGGACTGCAATCGAACGATTGGTCTGCACAGAAACATTGGTCGACCAGACACTATTTCCCAACCCATCAAGCAGTCTCAGATTGCCATCACTGCTTATTGTGAGGCTAGAGGCAGAGTCTGATACTGGGTTTTCTCTGTTTAATACCCAGAGAACTCTGCGAGCAGAAATGTTCTTGTACCATACACCAATGTATTGATTTGTGGAATTGGTGGGTCTGAAGAAGCCGAGCTCGAAGAATTGGCCTGAGGAGATGAGAGTTTGTCCGATTGAGAGTTGTTGGGATTGAGTCAATGTATCATTTGCTGCGAAGCAATACTGTGATGGGATTGTGAAGAGAAACCAGAGAAATGGCGGGAATGAAAGAAAAGTAACGGTATTTCTGGTTTTGGTTCTCATTTTTTGATTTCTGAATACATTTCTTTCTCGATTCGATGATCAGATTGTGAAGGGTCTTTGTAGATACCCTCTACTTAGTAGGAGCCAATTGAGAACAACATGGAAAATATTGCAGTGGCCATCGTAGGCTATGGTGGCTGCACTGGACTTTTTTCCATTCAAATCTTTTCTTTCTTGGTTGTAATCTTATGAGAAAAGTTAGGGATGATCATCAAAAATTTATAAATTTTGAATTATCTGATTAGTGTAATATTTTATTGTAAATGTAATTTAAGAATTACAAATTTTTTATAATTATTTTTATAAATTTTTTTTTATATTTATGATACATAGTATTAGCCTTATAGGCAAGGAAAACTTTAGCACCAAGCTTTTACCCACCCACAATTTTCGAGGAGTTATTGGTTATGGGGCGCCACGTATTGTGGTTGGTGAAAGGACGTGAGTTATGATTTTTTATTGACTGATTGAAAAATGTGGGGAAGTATGAGATTTATGATTGGTTGAGGATATGGTCATATGATGTATTAGGATTAATTAGTAATTTTTTAGAATTTTTTTGGGATGATTGTATAGTGGAGATTAAATTTGTAGAGTGTGAATCTATATGTAGAATAAATTTAAATCACAAGATAAAAGTTTTAAATAATTTCTTAATCGATAAAGGTGGATTTGTAGTATTGCTATGTAGATAAATGGTAACAACTGTTTTAAGATATTATTTAGGAGAAATCTACAAGGTGCACCTTGAGTGCATATCATAAATAAAATTACAATTTTTTTTTGTGATGAAAGTTATGATTATTTATGATATATATTATGTGACATTTTGTGATGAAATTATGAATATTGAATTTATAGTGTCTATCTTAAAGTTAGAAATGATAATATTAAGATTAATTACACTTTACCCCTTCCTAGTTTAATTCAAAAATACACAAGCCCCTCAAGGTTGTTACTCGATAATATTAGGCCACTTTCTGCTTTATTTTCTTCAAGACAAAATTCATTTTTTCTTCTCTACAAATGCGGTTCTCTCAAAAATCAAATTTCATTTTTGTTTTCTCTTTTTCATATTCATTTATTTATTTATTTTTCTTTTTATTTCCATATTTTTTTCCTTTTTCTTATTTCTCTTTGTAGAGGATCAGAAATTAAATCCCAAACTAAGTATGAGCCTAAGCACTGAGGTCGCCCCAAAGAGGTGATTGGGAATAAAAAAGAAGCATGGGCCAAAGCCCAAGGGAAGTGGGCCAACAGTGGGCCGAAGCAGGTCCGACCCATCAGGGCTCCAAATGGACTCTACGAAGAAAAATGCCCAAGTCAAGTTGCAGAGGTAACACCTGCAGCGGTGAAGTTGCAGAGAGAACATGTACAGCTGGAAAGTTGCTAAGGAACTTTGCCTCAGCGCCACAATTCCTAATATCTTCGGTCCTGCTGTCATCTGAAGTTGCCGAGGAAAAAAGAAAGCCGACGCAACTAAGTTGCAGAGGCAACACTTGCAACGGCCAAGTTACGGAGGTTAAGTTGCGGAGGCACTTTGTCTTAGCACCACCATTCCAAGCATCTTTGGTGTCGCCGCCATTCCAAGTAATGTCGATACCACAACCATCTGGAGTTGCTGAGGAAATGAGAAAATCGAAGCAACTAAGTTGCAAAGGTAATACTTGCAGCGCCCAAGTTGCGGAGGCATTTTGTCGACGTCGCCATCTCTAATATCTTCAGTCTTGCCGCCTGAACTTGCCGCAAGAAATGACTACCGAAGTAACTACTACCGCATCAACTAAGTTGCAGAGGGGATACCTTGCCAAGGAGATAGCAGCCTTGAGACAGGCTTCCCTCTGCAACTAGAGGCTAATGCTTGGTGCTGATAGTAGGCCCCAAGGCATTACTAGCCCAGGGCTGATAGCAGGCTTGCCTCTCTTTCTAAAAGTTCATTTAACTTGGCGCTGATAGTAGGCTCCAAGACTTACTGGTTAGAGCTGATAACAGACCCAGAGATACCAGTTTACCGCGGCAATCCCGCGAAAATGGGAGCAGGGTAGCCCAAACATAGGGTACTCCCTTTCCATTACCCAGGTCATAGACCTGCCTTAGTCACACAGGCAGGACTAAGGAAGCCTCATTGGGCTTGGTACTAAGGCACAGCATGGCTGATAGCAGGCCTAGCTGTGGCCTTCGCCTTGGGCAGCTGGTAAGCTTGTGGTTAAGTGGCTAAGGGTGGAGGCTTCGCTGAGGTGAGCACGAACATAGTTGATAGCAAGCTAATGGAGTCCTGCGAGTGCATGTACTGGCCAACTAGAATTGAGAAGGCAAGTGCAGCGGCAAGGTTCACCGCTGCAAATGCACTTACTAAGATTCAAGTTAAGAAGGCAAGTGTAGAGGCAAACACTCCCGCTACAACTGCACTTGCTGAGGTTCAAAAGGGAGTTGCAGCACCAAACACTCCCGTCGCAACTACACTTGCTGAGGCTCAAAAAGATAGTTGCAGAGGCAAACAGATAGTACACAATACATGTAGAGGGACACGTGGCACCTTCAGCCTGGTGGCTCAAGGTAGAATATTCCATGTGATCCTCTGAGACATGTCTTCTTTCTATTTGGCCACTTGGTGTCCTCTTGGCACTAAGGAAAAGCCTATAAATATGACCCATTTCCCAAGGTTCAAGAAGAAGAACTTTGGGAATTTGGGAGAAATGCTGCCCATTTTGGCACTGCCATTGTCTTATTCTTGAGCCATTTGCTTCACCCTCACCCAGCTACACACTCTCCAACTCCCAGATAGTTGCTGCTACTCATTCTTTAGTCACTTCCACTATTGGACCATTAACATAGTTTTGCCTCTCTAATCACCTCTCTAACCTTGAATACCCCTACAGTCTTCCATTTCTATTCTCTTTTTCCTTGTTCGTTTCATACTCCAGTAACAACCCAGCTGCAATCACCAAGCATCACTTTTCCATGGACATGGCCAATCACACCTGCAACCAGTGTTCACCAACTTTACATCTAGCTTTGCAAACCATTTAAAGCAACCATTGTTACATGGAGATCCATGTATAATACACCCAAAATAGCCCATGCCAAATCAAACTAAAATGGCTAGCTCAAAAGAGAACAAACACTAGTTTTGAAGGCATCATCAAAGGCTCATAAGCACCTTACATTGTTCAATCTATATGCCTTTAACATGGGGCATTTTATGAGTTATACATTACACATAAATATATAAGAAAAATCATAATAAGAGAGAGGGTTTCTAGAATGGAGAGTATTGGTAGTAGAGTAGAGAGAGAAATAAGAGGGTGGGTCATTGTTTTTAGAGAGAGAAACACAGTGGTCTAGGGAAGAAAATTGGATACAAAAGCAAGGGTAATATAGACTTTTGATGTGGAGGTTATGTCTACTTTTTTCAATCACAAGGGTCTTATGTGTTTTTGAACCAAAATATGAGCGAGTAAAGTGTAATTTATGATATTTTGTAATTTTTGTTATGACATTTTATAGTGAAACAAAGTTATGATTTTTGTAGTGAAAAAATTATGGCATTTTGTGTTTAAATTGTGAAATTTTGTGAAAAATTATGAAAGACATACCATAGATACATTTTTAGGTGCACATTGTAACATCTCTCAATTTTTTTGGAAGCAGACTTCTCTCTAGTCCAAATCAGATTGGAGGGTGCAATTGGGCCTTCGTTGGTCTACTACGGATCTCGTATTGATAATTTGAATTGTTCAATGTGTAGGGTTTGTAAAAAATTGCGTTGATCGGATATCAATAAATACTTGATTGATCAGATCACATTTGTGTTAACGGTAAGTATGATTTTTAAAATAAATTGTTAACACAATTGTGATATGATCAAATGTTTATTGATATTCCTTGCAAAAAATCACGTTGATCAAATAACAATAGGTACTTGAACAGATCACATTTGTGTCAACGGAAAGTACGATTTTTAAAATAAAGTATTAACACAATTGTGATATGATCAAGTGATTATCGATATCCGATCAACGTAATATTTTGCAAGGACGAAGTATTTGACGAGTCTTACATATTGAACGCTTCGAATTATGGATGGGGGTTTTGTGATGGATTTATAGAAGCCCAATAATACTCTCCAGTTGGGGAACTCAACTAGAAAGAACCTTCCTCATTTATTTAATATTAAAATTTGTATGGAAAATGTTATAGAGAGTCTCTCTCTCTCTCTCTCTATATATATATATATATATATGAAAAATGTTATAGAAAAGAAATGATGAGAAAGTTTCAATATTTATTTATTTATTTTAATTTTTTAATGAAGAAGAATGATTTGAAATTGGTGAAAATGTTTCCTATTTTGTATTTTTAAAATATATGTTTTTTATACTCATAGCAAGACCCATCTGATAATCCATAATGATTATATATATATTTGGGAAGTGTTTATTAGGTAGTCCCGAATATTTTTGAGAAGTAATTATTAGGTAGTCCCAAATATTATGTGTGTTATTTATATAATATTCTTAATCAGTAATGTAATAAAAAAAATTACATGTAAAACAATGTTAACCCACTTTATTTTAACCCGTGAGGAATCCACTTGATGTTTGTTGCCTTTTTTTTTTTTTTTTTTTTTTTATTAGGCAGGTAGCACCACTGAGTTGTTTTGAGAAGTAGGTTAAAAGTTTAGTTGTTAATTTTTTTTTTTGAAAAATATGTAAAAAAAGAGAGGTGATATTATCCAAAAAAAAAATCAAAAAAGCCAAAGTTGTCAAAATGGGCCAATATCACATGTATTTTTGGACCATTCAATAATATATACTTCCTCCATCTCTCTTTTTTTTTTTTTTTTTGGTCAAATTTTTCATTTTGGTCTATCTCAAAATATTTGTCCACTTTCTATGTTAGGTATTAAAAATTTTTAGATTTCTAAACCCATTATACACAAGTACAAATATATTTTAAAATTCAAAATCAAAGGGTATCATGGTAAATTATTTTAAATTTTGAATTGATGTGTAATGATTATATATCTTCTTAATAAGTTGAATTCCCCAAAACAAACAAATAAATTAAGACGAAGGAGTAATTGGTTTAATAGATCCATTGCCTGTGTTAATGAGTTTTACCACTTCTGTTACTAATAAATGGTAAGCCTAATTATTATGTAATAAATAAAATACGATAAAAAAAATATATAATTGT